TGACTTACAACTCTTTTCTCATTTTGGATAGTCATTCTGGTCAGATACAGGAGAGGATTTTGCCCAGTATAAGCTATGCTTGATGATATAGGCTTTTCTGTAGAAGAGCTGAATTTCTGAGCATAATACAGGGAGATCTTATAGCTGAGAAGGAAGAAGGAGGTAGGAAAAAACAGTGAGTACTATAAACATATGCGTTGCCTAAAATTTTTAACAGACTGTTTTCTAGGGTTACTGCATCAGCCAGATTTCTCCTACCATTTGCTGTGGAGATTCAGGAAGCTTCAGAAGACTAGGGGACATGCATCACTCCTACATCCAACCTCCCTCTGCCTGTACGCTCTCACGCCAGACTCATGGCAGAGTGAGTCCCGCAATGCCATCAGCCCAGTCCCATGTCCTTGGGTGACAAGGTTGTCACCCTGCATGGCCAACTTGGCAACCCTAGGACAGATGGAACTAATGCTTGTCTTTGAATGTCGTTACTGCCCTTCCTCTCCCCTGGCCGACCTGGAGACTAGTGCCCCGGAGGAGCAGCTACACAAGGTAACAACATGTGAGGCACAGTTGTACAGGATCCTGACACTTTATCCCAAATGATGGACACCACTTTCACACTGGCCATACTAATGTTCACTGTCCTGACACAGGTAAAATTTTGTGAGGATGCAGTAGTGTGGTGGTAACACTGATTTTCTATGTCATTTTAGTGTCGTAAAGGTGCTAAACCAGCTTGCAGAGCTGGTTGCTGCACTGGTTCCTCCATCCCTGAGGGAGGGAAGCTTCTGGATATGTGGAGCTTTGCCTTCTGTTGGGGTTCATCCCTCAATTCCCAGCCCTCCCAACAGTCCCCTCCACAAGTTGCCACCCTCCATAAAGCAACAGCTGGGTACTGGTGAGAATTTGAGTTTAGTCTGTGCTCTCTCCCATGGAACCCTTTACTTTAGTACAGCACTTCTTTATTATTCTGGTAATGCAAACTAACAGCCTCTTGAACCAGTATCTCTTTATCAGCAAAAGAGTATCACAATTCAGTACACAAAGTGCTGCTTTTGTGCTCTCAGGGGGGATAACACAGAGGACGGGAAGATCAAGAAGGTGAACCAGCCTATATCTCTGTGAAAGGCCAGACGAGCCCTGAGATGGAGTGAGTGTGCTTATCTATGGGCTGGATTTTGCATTTTCAGATCTTGCTGCTGGAAGTGGGAATCAGGTGCAGGCATTTCTTTCTGTCTTACCAAAAAGATTCAGGATATCACATTTGTCATATATGTCTTACTGACTTGCAAGAAAATTATGTGTCTGGTGTATCTCACAAACAATAAGAAATAAAATTTTGCCCTGCCTTCATGCTACACTGCAGTTCTATGGAGTTATTTCAATTTAATGAAAAAGGAGAATTGCGTAGGACCCCCAAGACATTAATGAAACACCTGTCACACAGCATGTCAACAGCAGTTACAGCATGAGAATGCATAAATCCTGGCCAGTCCTCTACTCCAATCCTGCTGTTAGCTGGTCCCTGAGTATTTCCCTACAGATCTCATTATTGTTGTGCTTGAGAATCTCACTTCAGGCTTTCAGCTAAATGACAAGTGAGAATCTTAGTTGTTCTAAGCTCCATCTGTAGTCGATAGCAAGAGATATAGGGGCAAATGATATCTCACGTGGCCCAACCACGCTCTGCAAGCGCTGGTCCTCTCCATTACCTGTGATCAAAGACTAACCAGAATTAATTCAAGTGCATAGGGTAAATGTCTAAAATTGCACAGTCCCACACCGGTAATTTACTCAGACTGGTGTGTTTGAAATGCATCATCACCTATTTGTGGAAACTGGGAGAATACATTCAGGGTGATTGATCAAATCTCTGTCATGGCAAGCTGCAGGTTTTTGTACGCTGGGCTCATCTATTTGTACTTCTGCCTTTTAGCAGAGGAGGTGTTGCTTAAAAAACTGTTTGTGTGTGTGCAAAAGCGGTTACCACTGTTGCTGTGCTGCTTGCCTGCTTCCTTAGTGTGGGTCAGTATCTAGGCTGAAGGAGAGAAAATTGAGAACCTGACTCGGCTGCAGTGTACCTGGTGGGCTTTCATGCCATCCTCTTTCTGCACTGGGGACACATTCTCAGATTTGGAGCTTGGAATAGGAGAGCATCATTGATCAAATGATGCGGCAGGATCCTGACAGCGTATCAAAACCACAGCCAGATATTTTCTTCCATCAGAAAAAAGAAAGGGTTCTTGGTCCCATGGAAATCAGTGACAAGACTTGTATATACTAAAATTTCACATCTTTCTGAAAGGAAGAAGGAAGAAGAAGATTTAATGATTCCCTCACTATATAAAAATCACTCATCTGCTCTAAGAAAATCACTGATGTTAAAACATGGATTCACATTATAATGGAAGAGCTGATGACAAAGGAGATGTGCAAATCATGTTGTAAGCTAGTGAAAATATACATTAGACAAAACCATTGGAAAAGAACTTGACAGGATTTTTAATGTTTTAAATTGCAAATGAAAATTAAATGAAACTAAAGCTCTTCAAAGTTTCAAAGATTTCCAAGTTGATTTTAAAACAAATTAATTTGTTTAAAAAAGGAGACTTCTGTTTTCAAAATTGCAAAAGGACAACTCTGAATTGTTTTTTTTTCAGCTTTAGCAGCTTCAACTTCCAATTCATAAAAAGTATATTTCAATCAAAATGAAAATGATTTTTTTCCTGACTCTATCTAAATTAAAATTTTCCTCGAGTTTTGGTCAAAGAAAATTTTAGTTATTTTGACTCTATGTCTAAATGCTGAGTGGGAAAATGCTTGGATGCCTAAAATATCTCTGCATGAGAGAAAAATGATTGGAAGTCATGTACTGGAACCAAGACTGTTTAGTGACAGTCTAAAGCTGGATTCTATAAAGACTGTATGCATTTAATTCAATAAAAATATCTGTAGTGTCAGGAAAGGTTTCAAAGTAATTGAAGATTAAGTTATTGAAGTTCCTACTTTTTTTGGGTAGGTTGTTAATGCCCTGAAGTGTCTCCCTGGCAGAAGCACATTGCACATCACTGCCATCCCTTACATCAGTGTGCCAGGACTCAGCTTCCGTGAAGTGCTGTGCACCTGAAACCATTTGATTTCAACAGTTTGAAAACATTCAAATACCTCTGAGGATAAGTGTAGGCAAATGAGAAAACAGTTTCTATTTAAGTCCTCTGTGGAGGAGAAATGGTTCTTATTTTCCATAATCTAAAGACTAAAAGGTTGTTTCATTGTCTTGTGCTGCTCTTGAAATGAATAAATAAATTAAATGCAGCTATGGCATGACATATGATATGTCATATACATATGTATTTCCTATGCATATGCATATGCATATGTCATGGTATAGGACTATCCTTTCTGATACTGCAATCTTTAGGAGGAGACCAAATGGCATAAAGCACACAAGCACCATGTTGCTCAGGCCGGGAGTGTGGCTTCAGCTGCCTTGCATGCAACATTAAGGTGAAGGTGGTGAAGCATCTCAGCTTCTAGCTGCTGTCATATTGTTTTATCATTGTGTCAGAATCTATATTAATAGAGCATGTCCAAGAGTCTGGGTCCTCCTCAATCTCTCCTGAGAGATGAGTGAGTTAAGATGCAACAAGCAACAAGTCCCATCTGCCCCTTCTTGATTTCCATGGTAAAGAAATCCAGGCACATGAGCTGAAGGAATTCCTGTGCTCTAACCAAGCCAGCTAGCAGGCTGCTGGGAGACCATGGGTCCTAAGGAGCTCTGCAGGATGCACTCGGAGGTATGCCCGTAAGTACTCAAGAAAAGGGAATACTTGGTTGCAGCAGCCATGACCCACTGAAAGAAGCACAAGGGATGTAGTTTGTAGTATCTAAAGATGGTCTGAATAAAAAGATGAGAAGACCTCTGATGGAGAAAAAAGTTCAGGCTCCAATTCGACAGTTTCACATAGTTTCCGCTGTTATTAATGTTGTAGCATTACTGAGGGTCTCTTGGGACTGACCATGTTGTATCATACACATGTTTATCCTTAATTCCTCTTGGGGCTAGTTCTCACACAAAGCACAGCATAATGTTTCCTTACTACCAACTCAGTCAGCTGAGAATATCGGTTTAATAATACATAGAAATGCAATCTCAGCCTAGATGCTTCAGGAGAAAGTTAGACATGTAACAACAAAAATACATGATGCTCTACATTTTACTTGTTTCCTCTGTAGATCTATTTAGCCTTACTATGCTGTATTAATAACAAACCTAAGTTTAGCTGTATGTGATGGCAAAACCACAGCGATATCCTGTCCTGCACAGCTGATACCATGAAGTTTGCTGATACCATTGCCAGAGCATCCACTCTGTCCATGTCTCCCGCCTACGTTCAATCTAGCTTTTTATATTTCGTCATCAAGCCTAAATGTCTGTAACATGGATAATGGCACAATCCCACATATTTAAATATTTTATACTGATCTGGTTCTATTGCAGGAATTATTGTTTTGCTGTTGCAAGGACATTGTCCATTGCCCATGGTTCAATTATTATGTAAATTCACAACAAATTGAGGAAGAGGAGGCCAAGTCTTGGCATAGGCACAGTAGGCAGTTGCCCGGTGTAGCAGATGGTGAAATGACCATTGGCCTCCAGATATGCTCAGCTGAAGCCAGACTGGCTGTGACTGAAATGGAAGTTGGTGTATGGAAGTTCAAAGGATGAAGGGTAACATTTCTAAGACCAGCTGTTGCCACCTCCACCTCTTCCTTCTGCTGGAAACAGAAGGATCATCAATCTGTTTTTTTTAGGGTTCTTACCAAGCTCTCTGTCCTTCTTTTTTCTCCCTTCTTGTGACAAGAGTCACCTGCCTGGATACCACCCTGGTCTGTGCTGTGATAACAGGTGCTCCTAAGAATTCAGCTAGCTCTTACTGTGACTGATGAACATTCCATTAATTACAGTGACATTCTATATGTGCCAAAAGAGAAGTTATTACCTGTAAAGTTTACTTTCAGGAGATAATCTTTGTACAGCTTCCTACCATCCAGATGCTTCATGGCATCACAGAGTTTGGTGGTATTTGGACACAGAGTCCTCTGCATTTTATGCAAGGCATGGGCCATTGCATACACAGCATTCACAACGAACATAATCTTGGATTCTTGCTCGTAGTTGGAACTGTTGATAGTGAAGTGCTTGTCACAAGCCTTTTTATGTGGTTTTCGGTTCTGGAGATTACACTGGAATTTTTGTTCCCAGAAATCCTTGAACCAGGGGTTGCGTCTGTTGTTGTAGGGGCTGAGGCTTTGGAAATACCTGTCAAATTCTTTAACTGGATGGGAAGCAAGCTCCAAGGTTATTGCCCCAGAAGCTATGTGTTCATTGCCCTTGACAATACTCTCTTGTGCTCCCCATCCGTCGCTGGCAATCCAGGTAAAGGAAACATTGAAGCGGTTGGCGGCTGCGATGAGCTCCCGAGAGTCATCACCTCGCATGAAGAGCACCACCACTCTGGCGTTGGGCTTCTGGAGCAGCTCTCTGATCACACCATCGTAGGACTTCCTGATGTTGGACCGCCCCACTTTCTCGGAGGTGGCGATGCAAATGTTGCGGAGACGAGCTTCCTGCTCAAAGGCTTCGATGCCTGTCTCTCCATAGTCTCCTTCTGAAGCAACTGTTGACACGTAAGTCCAGTTGAAGTACCGTAAGATTTCAGCCATGGCTTTCGCTTGGTAAAAGTCTGGTGGCACCGTCCGTGCGAAATAGTCGTAGCGGGATTTGTCACTCAGCTTGGCACTGGTGGAGGCATAGCTTATCTGGGGGATCTGGAAGAGCCTGAGCAAATTTGCCACCTAGAGAGAAGTGAGAGAACACAGATTTTTAAAGGTCAGTATTCAGTATTTCTGAACAGAAAAATCTAGGGAAAGGTATAAACTGTGTTTTTTGTTAAGAGGTGTTCTGATAGACAGAGATCAAGGATGTTGATAAAGGCTGTTGATATCACACTCCAGTGAGAGCATTGCACTGTGTGTATGCAGAATAGCTGTCCTGCTGCCCATTTAACTCCCATGGTCCTACTGGGACTGTAATGAATCTTTTATTTCTGTCAAACTGAGTCTATTTAAGCCAACGGAGAATTTGATAGAAAACGGCAACATACTTCAGTCTCTGCCTCTGCTCCTTACTAAGGCCTGGATGCCTCTCCTGTTCCTACCATGGTTCATCCTGTTCAAGACTCATTGTATTTGATAATCCGTTGTGGTAATAAGACATAAATGTTTCTTTTATGCAAATATCACAGATACACATGCACAGGTCAGAAAGTTCTGTGAAACAGAACGTTCTGGCCCCACTTACTCAAGCTCTGAGTCCCCACCTTTCCTACTTTTTTACTCTTTTTCACTCTTTTTCTCTGAGTCGTTCTTACTGCAATGCTCCTGAGAGGGCATATTTGTTACTTGTTACTGCTTCTCAAGTGCTGCATAATGTCATGTTGGCCTGCACCTTTTTCGTAAATAATAAAATCTTTTAATAATCTGTAATTGCCCTTTTGTGTTTTACGTTGTTCAGAGTCCTATTTTTTTTTGTGGTTTTATTTTCACTTGGATTAAATGTCCAAAATCTTTTTTTTTCATATATCCCTTGCTTAGATATTCCCAAATCTATTCTGTTACACTCATACAAGTATAGCTCCCGATAATATCTGGAAGGAAATGAAGATTATGGATTTTTTTTCCCTCTGATTGCTTTTTAAATGACAAAGGGAAGACTTTGAAGTTCTGTTGTTGGTGAGTGGAAGTTGTGTCCAGTAAATTAAATGTAATGCTGATATTAGAGTACAGCCTGACCAAACTGCCTGAAAAACAATAGTGTACTTGAGATTCCTAAGGGAAACGTTTTAAAAATTGCCCAATCATTTATTTTTTTCACATTTTCCCCAAACGTTTCTCTGATTACAGACTATGTCTGTGAGAATTCAAAGGCAAAGAACTGTTTTGAAAAAAATATTGTCAAACAAAGCAAGTTGTAAAGGCATAAATGTCAGTAGCAAAATAGAGAGTTGGGTAATAATACCCAAACTAGTTTTATTGCTTTTCAGCAGCCCTTGTCTCTTGGGATTCTTTAGATTTAGATTCTGTGTTTAATGCAGACGTTGGACTGATGTCCCTCTGTGGCTCATCTCCCACTGTAAACTGGTGTAATCTCTTGTCTGGGCCAGACTGCTGCCTAGCTGCTTGTGTACAGTGCCTTTCACAACTCCCCAGGCCATCTGAAGCAGGGGATTTAGGGGCACCCGTGCCCTGCCGTCTTTCTGGGGCACCAGGGATGAGCAGGCAGGATGCCCATGCATTGCAGGTCTCTAGGTGCTCGCATCTGGAGAGTTGAAGCATATCTTCATAAAATGAAGCACTTATGGTAGTTTAGTTCATTTTATACCAAAATCAAACCTCCTCTGCACTGCTTGGGAGGAGTATCCTGACAGGGAGCTTTGGCTAACAACCTATTGTTTTGCCTAAAGATATAGGCACCTGGCCGGGAAATGCTTTGGCTGAGCACGTTACTGTCCCTCAGGACACTGCTGATGTGTCCTTAACCTGCTAGATGGTGATATGCATTGCACTGGAAATGTGGGATTTAATTTCCATTGTAGTGACTTGAACAAACAGCTTTAAAGCAATGATCTGAGAGGCTTATTCTGTCACCAACGTGCAATGGATGCTCTGCGCATTGTTAAGCCTCTGTGACTTTTTAACTTTTGATTCCATGCACACACATTCACATGGTTTGGTTCACATGTCCCCACTCCAAAAGAGCACTTTAATTTGGTAATTAGAGTGTCTTCAATGTAGCTATTCCAGAACATTTCTTGCAGAACCACGTGGGCTGGAATTGCTATTCTTGTCTCAGTTTATTCTGTCAGGAATTATTTTATTTCAGCTAAACCATAACAACAATATGCAAACATATCTTTCTGCATTTTCCTCCCCAAACTAGCTAAAAACGAAGTCTATTTTCTAGCTCAAGCAGTGCTATTCAGTGTGTAGACAAGCCTTCAACTCATGGAAAGATACTCCTAACAAATATAGCAGCTTTTCTAAATAATGTAGCAGCTTTTCTACTGCTTTTCATTTCTTTTAGTCCAAACAACAGAAGTATCCACATGCAGGGAAACAGAACTAAATCCTCATTTTACGAGGGGTCCCTGAGCCTTAGAGGTCAACATACTTCTAGGGTCCCTGCAAACCACCTGCAGTTCTGGTCCTGCACAATGAGTAGAAGAAAATTTTCCTGTGGCAACACTCTTTGCTCTAATATATTTCATTGCAAAGCTGTCCAGATGGTAGGTTTTTCATAGATCAAAAATTAAAAAATATGAGAAGCTCTGATTAATCAAGGAGAATAGCGACCCAATCATCCCTGAGAACTGTGGCTGATACAACAGAACTGTTGCAACTTTTTCGGGACAAAGTCTGCAAGGGAGCTCAGGATTTTGGCACTTAGCTAGTGCATCTAGTTTCAGAATGTTCCCTTTTTCCAGCCGCTTTCATGGGGATCTGAATATCTGATTCTGAAAATTAGATCTTGATTAAACCAACAGCAAGATAAAGGCACAGGTTCTGAAGAGGAGTGATGCCTAAGGCTACGTCTATTCTGCAGTGTGTCAGTGTTGTGGAGGACAGTGCAATGTGAACCAGAGCGATATACACCGAGACTGAACCACCTGAGGCATACCTACATCAAAATTCCATGCTGCCTTGGGGTGTGTGCTACAGCTTCAAAATTGCAGTGTACATTCAGCTTTTGCTAAGTGAAATAATCTATTCTGGCAAAGCTCCAGGCAGAAATTTAATCAAGCCATGGTGCATGCAATTAGAGCCTGAAATCCATATGTTGACGCTTAAGCAGCAGTAGTAGCCTTTTTTTCTTGGCTGTCAAAACTGATGGGATTTGCAGATGCTTCACACCTTTGAAAATAATGCTAGATGTTCTGTATCTGCAGCCTAAAACAACTGCTCTGCACAGCTTGCTGTGAACAAAGTGTGCTGATACGGTCAGCTTCCAGCGTGATGGGAAACTTTTATTTCTCCTCATGCTGCTGGGTTTTTGAGTGTAGCCACTGTTCTGTGCTAAAACGTCCACTCCTCAAGCAAACCTGTCTCTCACCCAGCTGCAAGGACATTTATAAGGCGCTGCCCAACATGAACAGAAAATTCAGTGTGATCCAAGTCCCTCCATAGGAAGAGATTAACACCAGCAAATCCTGCAAACCAAGTGGCAGGGCAGTGCCTGTAGAGCCTGAGGTCCATCTCACGGTGCTGGAGCCACATTTGTGACTTTTATTTCTTTGTGCATCAGGTACAATACAAATACTTCTGGGAAATCAGCAGTCTAGTTTACAGCACTGAAAATGGTTTCCTAATACCTTCCTGCAAGGATCAGTGCATTAGGTGCGGTTATCAAACACGTGACTGGTGTACGAGTGTATTTTGGGCCATTCAAGAGGCCTGATGATAGATGGGGTCAGGTTGGTAACATCTACATGTTTCACAAACATATATGGATTTATTGAATCCCATCAAGCATTTTGTTTACCCTCTATAGGACATTCTTTGCTGGCAGCAGAATTTATTCTGATGTTTGTGGTTAAAATTTCCCTTTTTAACAGCCCCAAGGCTGTTACATGAATTGTTTGAATGTGTACAGACCTGGCAAGCACAGGAAACACTTAAAAAAATAAATAAAACCTATGAAGTGTTAGAACAGATGATAGGATTTCTTCAACACAATACACACGTGTCTATCACACAGTTGTTGGACAGAGGAGGCCCCTTGTTAGACAACAATGTTTTCAGCACTTTTGAAATTTTACCACATGAGAATCTTGTAGCACTTAACATGGCTTAATGAATTGAATTTCATAGAGCTCCTCTGAGACAGGCAAGAGCTCCTGTGGCTGTTTTGAACAGACAGTAAATTAGGCTGCTGAGCAGAATGGGATTGAGGTAAAGGAGCTTTTTTTCTACTGAGAAACTAGAGAAAACCCCGTTTCTCTGAACTGCAATCTGTCCTAATGAAAATGCAGTTGCTGCGTTTGGTCTTCTGAAATTTTCTTTCTGTTCATGAGGATAAATTGCTTGCCTGGTTTTCCACAGTGAGACTCTGGCAAAGCTATGTCTCCAGGATTTTCTAATGTCTAGATCATTGCTATAGCATAGGAGCTGATCTTTCACTTTGAAGAAATGTGTGCTGCTGCCAGTGTATCTTGCATTTAGTTCCTAAATGATGATAATCTACAGTGTGGACTTTTCACTGTTATTTAAGAACCTGCAGGTCAAACTGCAGCTAAAACATTTGCTCCAATAATTAATCGCTTTTACTTATTTGATTGTTTCTTTATTTTCTGAAATCTAAAAAAAATTTTACCACAATTCAGCAGAATGGGTCATTTTAAAAAAAAGAAGAAAGAACCACTAGTTCTGAATGGGCTGGAGTGTGGGTATGTGATAAGTGGTGAGCATAAGGTTACTGTAAAGAATAAATCAAGTACCTCTCTGTAGCCAACTGCTTACACTGGCCTGTGCACCCTTGTCATGCTCCCAGCTCCTGGTTTGACATTTTATGTCAAGTTAGAACTTCACTTCTTTAAATTTATAATCATTTTCATCCATCCTTCTGTCATGCATCTTAGTAAAGACACTTGCTTTATTTTTCTGAGAACCATCCCATATGTACTGAAAAGCTGCTATTAGGTTCCCATGAAACTTTCTTTTCTCCAGGCTAAAACCACGCAGTTCTGTCCACCTTCTCTTGTTGTGTATGTTCTCCAAACTCTCCTTCCTGCAATCATCTC